TTTTGACATCCATGTACAGATGAATATAATTTCAAAATGACTAGAGTTAACCAATCAGCAATCAGCCTAATGCATAGAGGGAAGAACACCCATTATAATCAACATTTATAAATATTTTTTTTTAAATTACAGTTAACAACATCCATTGGTTTAATTCAAAACGTTTTGTGCAAAAATACTGTTAATTCATCTAGATTAAAAAACAAAAAATCAGGCAATGCATCGCGAGTTGCTTACTAATAATAGAACTGACATAACCATAGAACGTTGAAGCCTGTGCACTGCGGATGTCAGATTATTATTAGTAGGTTTAAGTGTGAGTTGAGAGGAATTAAAGATGGAGCCATGCACGACTTGTGTTGCTGCACAAAATGACTAAACACCATTCAGAGTTGAACTATTTTCACTCCATTGCTAGAAAACAATTACTGTATCACTAAAGAACATTTCTGAAGTAGTTTTATCATGGATGAGCTGTCTCACTTTTTATAACCAAGCAACAACAAATTGGCACTGCCTATAAACAAAAACAGCACCATTTTAAAACTTTGCATATTTCATCCATATTCTTGCCTATATGTACACATTTGCAAGCAGTCTTTAGCCGCACCTATTTTTATAAATTTATTATTTTTGTTGTTGTTAGGTGCTAGTAGAATAGAGTTGTGTGCTAATTTGGTGGAAGGAGGAACAACACCAAGTTTAGGTATGGACAACTAATTTTACATTATATATACCGGTATGTCAGGGTTTTGCTTCACTAAGGTAGTGTCGCAGTTTTGTTTCTCTTTTAACAAAAATTAAATTAATCAACATCATGTATTTGTTTATTAGGAATACAAATAAGTGTTATCCTTTACAATTTTAAAAATATTTCTTATTGCAATTTCTTCTCATGACTTTGTGTGAATGCTAGGACAACTTTACTTGCCTTCCACAAATGAAAAAATACATATTTTTTTTTTTAATTTTTCCAAAATATTCTTTAAGATCTGTAGCTGATTCATAATTATGTCCATTTGATCCAAAATTGACAAAAAAATTGCAGAAAATTACATAAAAATGTCTAAAATGCACTCAAAAGGATATTGTAATATATGTATTCAAACTAATTTTTAATTTATGAGTAATTTGACAAAAAAATCCTGCACTGATATTGTAGTACTGATAAGTCACATATTACGAGTGACAATATATTATTGTGACAATCACAATAGTGTGTCAAATTTATTTATTTTAAATTTCTGACAAAATATTACTAATTTGAAATCATCAATGAATATCTATTTTTATATTCAATACTAATAAGTCATTTATCACCAACTTTATTTAACATTTTTCTGAACGATCTGCCAGAATTATTTGGGGATCAAATTGATAAACCAGTTCTAATGGGCGAGAAACCTATAAATTGCATCCAATATGCAGATGACCTTGCACTTATTTCAGAAACGGAAGACGGCCTACAAAGCTGTCTGAACAAATTAAATGACTATTGTATAAATTGGAATTTAGAAGTAAACGTAAAGAAAACTAAAGTCATGGTATTTAATTGCAGCAACAGACTGATTAAAAACATGAATTTTAAAATCAACAACCAAGACATAACAGCTGTTAGCGAGTTTTGCTATTTAGGGGCAATATTTACTCCAAATGGGAAATTTAAAACAAACTTATCTATGTTAAAAAATAAATCAATGAAGGCTCTTTTCAGCATCAGACAAACAGTCTTAAACCACAAAATAATTTCACCAGCACTTAGTTTGAAAATTTTCGACCAATTAATTTCACCTATACTCATGTATGGTGCAGAAATCTGGGCCAATGAAATCACAACTGACAGTAACAGTTTAGAGCAAGTTTGCAGTCATTTTTACAGGTTTATCCTAGGAGTGAGTAAAATGACGCCAATTAGTGGTTTGAAAGCAGAACTTGGT